GTCAGTCCTTTGTGTAATGACTCAAAATTGGTGCTATAAACTTTGAACAGTTGTTTGCAGTGCTCTGTAAAACAAATTTATGACTGTTGAAAAAACAGTATAGTTTCCTCACCTTAAATTTTCGTGTTACAAAGCTTGAGTTGAAAAAAGAAAATAACCCAGTTGTTTTGTACAAGTTCCTTCTGACAAAAATATTTGCTACAAACATAATAGCACTTCAACAACCAAAAATTTGAAGATTTCCCTACCCTAAATGAACTAATCAGACAGAAGAATACGTAATTTTTGCAAACAAAATTTCAACCTGCGGGTAAACCAAGCTGTTGCACCTCCAACTCCAGATCTCCAGGCGAACAATTAGATTTTGCAGCTTTCTCAATAATAAACGTCAAAGCAGCAACCATTGCTTTAACATCATCACCGGCTAAAAATATGTTGATTTTGCATATCTGGAGTAATTATGACTACAGTACCTGTCAGTACATATTGTAATATAAAGAGTACCTATCAGAAAAGACAAATACGTAACAACAAAAATTTCAAAAAGCCGACCTAGTGACCCATCGTGGTTCAGCAATTTCAGCTGCTCTTCACTCCATTTTTTCTTCGAAAACAAATTTTCAACACATTTTGCGCACCAGTGTTTGAATTTTATCACCGACTAAAAGCCAGTAGAGTAAGATAAGATTCAGTATTAATGAGAATGAACAGCATTAATAAAGGTCACCAAAAATAACCTTGAATCTTAACAGAAATGTAACATAACAACTTATCAGTACCAGCTATACTGAGACTATGTCATATTGCGTAACTGATTTGGGAAATGATTTATGACCTTAAGTCCGGGAATCTCTAAATAACTAATCTCTTTCATATAAATTTTAAACAAGTGTAAATAAGGATTAATAATGTAAAAAGCCAATTACTGAACCTGTCAAAAAGTTTCAAGCAGTGTGACCTAATTTTCTAGAATATCACAGCTTGGGTCAATCTCATTATTATTCACCTGCACTGGCCTCATTTTAGGTGAATTTCATCCCAAAAATAAAACTCCAACTTTATAACAAAATGTTATCCTGCTGCAGATAAGGTTTAAAGAGTATAAAAAACAAGAATTCCAATGTCCTCTAAGGAACTTCCAAACTCTCAATTTAAAACAGTTCACCAGCAACAAGTTTCAACATCTTATAAGAAGGCAATTAGCGTCACCTCAAACAAGAAAATTTTGTACCGCACCCTGGCTGTCAATCATACAGCAACAAAGAACAAAATTTTTCATAACGAGAAAGTTAAGACATTCAATTTAGCTCGAATTCTTCAGACTACTAGAGCAAAATTCGTCGGCGACAGTAATAAATCTGTACTCCCTCTTCAACAACAATAACGACCTGAATCAACCAGATGTGACAAAAACTTCATAACTCGCTTAAATACGCAGAATATACTGATCCACTCCACCCTCCATCCCGAACAGATCGCTGAAACAGACTTCTCGCAGACGCCTTACTTTTAAAGCATCTCCCTTACATGTCCAAAATCAAACTCCAGATGTTCGTTAACAGTCAAATTATGTAGCGCTAAAAAATGTTTCTTGTGGTCCTATTTCTTCAAACAAATTTTTCAGAACAAAGCGATTTCATGAATTAAAGACCACCATATAATCATTACAATGTCAAAACTCGATGCAGCTTGCTTGATAGTGACCAAACTCCACTCCCAAAAAGCAATTTATGCCTCGTTTCCTGCTCAGTCCCTGATATAAACAGGAGAAAAAGCTTAATAATCATACAACTTTTTGATCCAACACTAGACGAACGATCAGTCAAAATTCCCAGTTGGCTAAAACAAAATGCCACATCTATTTACTTGTAGCAGGTGTTGACGAGGATGACACCCTTCGTTTTTTCCTTCATACAGACTTAACAAATAGTGCTGACGTTAAATACTAACCAAAAGAGTCTGAAGCTGAATATACAAATGATGTTTGAAGATGCATAGAAGAGGCATGTTAACTGTGGGTTCTTGGACTGGAACAGTAGAAAAAATATGTGCCTTTCTTGGCAATGCAGAAAATGTCTTTAACGTGCTTGGCAGTGCAGAAAGAGTTACTAGCACAAAGTAGAGTTGGTTCATGGAAAGTTCAAATTTCACTGGAACATTCAACGAACAGCGGTACGGTGGATATTTATCATTTTGCCGACTCATATTTTGTTTACCTCTTACTTCGAAGACCTTGAAATTTTCCGCAAGGTTTGAGAACTTATTATTAAAGTTGCAACTCTTAATCGATTTGTCCTTTGTTTGCTATGATCTTCAAGATAGTAAAATCCTGCTGATAAAGAAAGGAGCCCTTGCAACTATTAAGTCCTAATAAATAGGAAAAAACCTACAAGTTTAGATAGCGATGATATTTCTTGTAGTATCCAGTCGGGGCAGTCAAGTCCTCCAACAAAGCGAAACTTCTGAAAAAAGAAGTAGCATAATGCTGGTGACCGTAAAAGCAAATTAGCCTGTTAAGTAATCACACAATTTGCTTTAGGACTTGAAAATTTATAAACATTCGTTTGTCTTTTTGGTTGTTTCGTTCTGTTACTGCAACAACATACACAACATCTGTTGAGTACTACGTTTTTTCACTGTGCTCCTCTTAGTCGTTATTTTCTATTTTTCGAAAAAACAGTGAAGTGATTTCATACATTTTCAACTGACAAGATTTTTGCACTCTCTCGCTCAAGCGAATAGAGATTTAGAGTTACTACAAAAACTAAAAAAATTAATTTAGGCTTCAGAAGTTTGTTTCTTTCTAACTCCTCTCATTTGCCGCTTTTGTACCTGCAATTTACCGGTATGCTAATACCGTAAATTACTTATATTAAGCATCACTGTTAGCGGCAGTATAAAAAACAAAGTTAAAGATTAGGTTGAAGAGTAATACACTGACAGTTATCCAACAATTTGCCACAAAAGCTAACATTTTTTGGCTCACTACTTAGAAGTTCATGGCTGTGATGCGCAGAGTAATGTAGTTAGACTTCAGACTTTAATTCTACAGGAACTGACAAAGTTCTAGAAGGGTTGGAGAAAGACTTCAAATCCATACGCTTCCATGATCGTACTATAAACTGCAGTGTGTAACAAAAATTAAAAAAGTTTGGAATGTGGGATATCTTTAGAGCGTTCAGAAGAACAAAAAAGCCATCAGTAAAACACAGCCACTATCAGTCAAGCGGAAAACTTGATTTACAGAAGTTTAGTGGAAAACAATCACAAGTACTCTTCGAGGAGGCAAGGAATGTACAAGAGCTTTCAGAGCTGTAATGAACGTTGATGGGTAAAAATAAACTTGTACTTCTTAACGGCCTAATGTCAAACTAGACGCATTCAGTGCCATAATAAAAAGCTAGGAAAACTAAAGATGGTGTTTTTCCTATCAACCCTCACCTCCCAAAACAGATTATCGTTCTACACTTATAGCGAAAACTCGCATAATGTTCAAACGCCTTATAAAAGTCCTTCAAATTCGTGAAATGTTAAGCCTGATCTAAGATATTCCATGCCAGTTGAATTACCCATTGATAAAGTTAATTTCAAGAACTTTTGAAGAGTAATGGAACAAACTAACAGTCTAGTTTCTTCAATTTTTGTGCCAGTGCGCTTTGTGCTTCAACTTGTTCTTACAGTGGTAATCCTCTAAAGCCTTTATTTCTTATAGTAAAATTCTTGCTGCTACAGTAGAAAAGAACCTCAGAAGCCTTTCGTGAAGCACTTATTTCTCCTAAATCTTGACCCCTTCAGACTTTCTGTTAAATTGCTGGAGCCTTTTTACTTTTAAGGTGTGTGATGGCCAAACTGTATAAAAAATTTGGAAACTGCAAAACATAGTCCCTTTCTTTTTTTTTTTATCATCTCTGCTTTCCTCGTCCATAGGAATAACTTTTCCAATATTTATTTGCAAAAACACTTCAGTTACAAAAAAAAAAAAAAAAAAAAAAAAAAAAAAAAAAAAACGCTTCTGAAGATTGCATTTTTCAATTTCCCATTAAAAACTCAAAAAATAAGAAAAAAACGAAAAGCTTCTTTTGCGAAGCGGTTCCTCAAACACAGTCATCTCTGTCTTCTCCACTACTTTTTTTCTTAAAATACTAAAAAAATGCGTGCTGTCAACTACTCTAAAATAACCAGTTTGTTCATGCTAAACAAAACCACGAATCCTTCCTTACCAATGGCCCTAGCCGACCAACCACTAAAACTCTGCGCTACGCACCAAGTAGGAAATAGAATGTATTTTTGCAAATACGAATTCCAGGCGACACGTCCCAAGAGGATGATCAGTTGAAGTTTTCCTTTGTTCAAATTATCTTGTAGCTTGTATTCTCCTTCATTCTTTTGCCTAATTTTGTTTCTTTTTTTTCTTTCTTCCATTCACTGAGTTTTCGACATTATACAAAGAAAAAGTTACACTTGATACCTTCTTTTGTAAGTATCAAATCAAGGTAAAAAAGCGCTGTCTTTTGAAGATAAATATTTGGCGCCACACAATTAAGGAAGATTCCGTAAATCTCACCACAAACCTGGTCTCCTTTTAAATGCTAGTAAAGACCATGTAAGAGGGCCCAATAAAGAGGACCTAGCAGAAAGAGCTTAAGAGAGCAACGCTGAGGGTATGTCATTCACGACTGAAAGGCCATTTTGGAGATAAACTAAAAAAGAAGAGACTAAAGAATGACCATTATATAAATCAAATGAGTTCTGAAGAATGACAAGGAATTCCCAAATAGTTTTAACTTTGTTGCAAAAAATGGGTAAATTTTTCTCTTTCCCTCTCCCATACCCTATTTTCAATAGACTTTCACCGTTCAACTTTTGTCTTACCAAGCAACTAGTAAACCTCCCCCCAACAAACGCAGAAATTAAAAAAGTACAATTCGCTGAGTCTCAAAAAGGGTGGAGTTCAACTGAAATCTGGAGTCAAGTTAAAAAAAAAACGAATACCACTGTCAGCCTGGCAAAAATTCCAAACAGCAATAGCAAGCTAGAATGACCCTTTAAGGTTCGCTAGAAATTACTATTTTTTCATTTAAAATACGCACTTACTGACAGATGTTCAACGTCTAGTGAGAAAATGACGGATATTCTGAGGGTACTTTTGAGACGAATTTTTTCAAAATCCTCTTTAATACGCAATTTAAAATTTCAATTATTTAGTGACCAAAGACGAGATTAACGTTATTAGAAGGTATGAATACCAACTAGAAAGAACTCTGTTACAAACAGTGAAGCCAAGACACTAGAGAGCAGAGGAATAAAATTTAAAGGCTAAAGCACTTTTAAGGCAAAGACTTGTTCAGTATCATCAATAACAGAGAGCTGGCTAGTCAGAAATGATTAAAAGAATTAAACTTGAAAGCAACAATTCAATCACTAAGACGAGAGTGCAGCAAGTCAAAAAAAATTAGTTTTTGGCAATTATAACTGAAAGCAAAAATCCATCGATATCAAATTGTAATAATTTTTAACCGCATCTAATATATACAAAGTTTCTTTTACAGGAGTTTCATAATGCAGAAGAGTCTGCAACAGTGAATTACTTTAAAAACTGTAAAACAGGTAAAATCTGCAACTTGGTAGACAAGGACAGGATTCATATAAAAAATATCAAAGAAGTAGTTTTTGTTTCTTTCCACTTCAAGTTAACCAACTTTCTTAGCATCAACAACTTCACAGCATTAAAGCAGATTTTATTAAAGAGATCAACTTTTTAGGTTATATTTTTCCAACTTCACCAATTCATAACTTTCAGCTTGCAACTAGACTAGAAATTGAAAGAACAAGTTTTTCAACTTTAATAAGAATAGCTACTGTAAACAAAAAATCTTGTTCAACAAACCATGTTGTGTCGTCACAGAAGTGTAAAAGAGCTGGACTTTCCTCAGCTAGCCTGAAAAAATATTGTAACTCGGTCTTTCCGAGAGCTTTAATAGTATTTCAGTATACTTAAAATACAAGAATAACGCCAGTAACCGTGGTTCTTCTATCACCAAATTCATAAACAGCACTATTAGTAATCCTGACAAAGAAATAACTACAAATGCGGCCTACAAATCAAACATCAGTTCATTAAATGTGACAAATGGGTTGAATGTGTTCTCAAAAACCGGCGACGGTGATGAAGCAGATCAAAGTTGTCTGGGCAAAGCAGAAAATTAATTCTTCGCTATTGAGCTGTATTAGGCGGTAATTAACAACGCAACTATGGTCTCGTCACGACTTGTTTTAACTCATGAAAGTTCGGCGCGGTGGGTCTTAACTGGTCGAATTGTTGCAACGAGATTCAAATTCGGAAATATTAGTACCATCCAAGTGTGTGTTGGTAAAGTAATCATTGGGGAAGTTATATGAAATGTTTATTCAGTGTCCAAAAAATTATAAACTTGGAAAATTCTGCTTAGTCACAGTAGTAATGCTCATGTAATTCCTAGGCAAAGTAACTCGGCCGCTGATCGCATAAATCGTAAATCATCTTGGCGTTTGTGGTATTAACATGCTCTCTATTCCTCTCAATTTTTTTATCACGCTCAAAAGTTTCCTCGACGCTTATTCGTCTCTTTACGTTTTCAGTTGTATGTAATAACCGGGTTTTGTTTATTTAGCTATCCGTAAAGCGTTTATTTGCTGATGGTTTAGCAAATTATTAGACGATGTTTAAGACTTTATAAGTGTTTGAATTGGTATGAAAACTTTTGCATAATGAGGCACCTTACTGACTAGCCGGAATAGAGTTGGTATACTTCTACTTTAATGAAAGTTTTTTCTAGACCGTGTGTCTAGTAAAGAAGTGCTTGCATTTTATCTCCTTTTTATTAAATTTGTTCTTCATTAGTCAATTTCTAACTCATCTCTTACATTTTTTCTGCTTTGAATAAACTTTTTTGATTTCTGTATTGCGGCTTTTTTTCTTTTTTTTAAATTTGTAAATGCTCAGAAACTTTGGAGTAGTTCTATAAGGTAGTGGAAAATAAGTGCAAAAGAGAAGAAAAAAATTTATTTAATTCCTTTCAAGTAGGAAACTATTTATACTTGGAGCAAAATATTAGTTTCCCCAAGCGAAAGGAAGCTTCTGATCAACAAGGAATCATGATTTTTATATTATTTTAATTTAGGCGGATGTTTTCTTAGCAGCAAAAAATATTTCAATTAAGGCAATTTCATCGTATTTATGCAAAGATCACTGTCTCTATCTTCTAAAAATGTAAGATATATGCATCTTATAAATAATTCTTTGTTGTATGTTTTTTAAGACTGATCTTGCGGTATGCGTGTTATTTTAGAGTTTTATGGCTCACTGAGAACAAAAACTTGAAAGAAAGAGGTTAACAGTCATAACTATACATAACGTCATTGATCTCTAAGTAGCTGTAAATCATGTATATAGTGTGTGATTGAAGACTAATTATATGCGTGTAAGTGATACTTCCTTACAGTATAACCTGAAGCAATGAAGATTTGTTACTTCTTCGCATTATTTGTTTTTGAAAAAAGCATTTGTTGGGTTAGTCCAAACTTTTGACACCTGTTTTGAGAGCTTTGGACAAGTGCTGTAATACATCTTTGAATATTGTTTACCTTGTTCTAGTTTCTTCGGTAATAGGTTTTTATCAGGTACTTTTTTGGAGAAAGTTAAGTAACAGCAGATAACGACATCCAGCTCATTGAGAGTTAGTGCTAATTTTGATTTTTTTTCTTTTGTTAATGTACCGTGTAGCGGAATCAGGGTTCAGAGACGATAACTAGTTGTTGCAGAAACAAAGAAATGCATACGAACGTTGTCTGATAATTAAAGATATCACTTTTGCACACCGACAGAAGTATTCATTTTATTGTATACAATTTTTACAAAATTTTAAACTTAAAAATTGTTGAACATGTGAAATTTATTTGCCTTTTTGAAAATACGTGTCTTTGTAAGTACGGGTCTAAAAAAAAAGTTTTGTGAGAAGCTAACTAGAAGTTTTTTGTTCGTCTCTCTCATTTTAACCATGAGAAATATTATATCGAATGTGAAAAACGATGGAATGGAGTAGGGGTATCATTGCAAGGGGAGAATGTAAATAAATTTTAAACAGAGGACGTTGCATTAATGCATCTCTGCAAAGTGATTTGAAAATCTCTCGTTTTGGAGTTTTGCCAAGCCGCTATAATGTCTCACAATTTTGCATTTAGCAAAAATTCCTCTGTCTTTATTCTTTTTTATTTCGGTGATCTTTAACGTATGAATTCTGAACTGCTCCATCAGAGAAAATACCTGATCATTAGTGGGATGGACCGGTATTAAAACTAAGTTTGCCAACCCTTTAATTTTATTGCATTCCTAACTGGTACACTACTGTTTAATCGTTTCAGACAAGTGCTTAAAAACTTTTTATGGTTTGGTTCCTAACATTTATTTTACAAGGATGTTTCTTAGAACTTATGTATTTTCTCAAAAATTTTCTCTACAGGGGTGATTTTGAGGGAGGGAAGTGGGAGCTGTTATTGTGCATGATTAATGTATGTCTTATAATTTGTGGTTCTGTGCCTCCTGGAAACAAGAACGGAAAGACTCATGATCGTTTAATACTTATTTGTTTTTTTCAAAGACATTTTAACAGATGTTAAGGATGGATTTTATATGTTGAGCGAATGTGACTTTTCTCTTTATAATTCGTATCACTTTTGATATTGAAGAAGGAATTTAATTTTAAAATTATTTATTTATTTTTATTAACAGCATTTGGTTAG